ATACCATGTCAATCATTAACCCCTGTAAATAAATAAATGTAGTATCAAAAACACTAACTTTGCAACTCTTAACCTTATTATTTTTTATCTAGTTAGCTAGTTCACAAGTGTACATTGTGTTACCTATATGAATAAATGATTTTGAATTATGAGTTGTTAAATTGTACCCAATAACGAGTAATAATGCAAAAGTAATTTTATTAAACAAAAAATGTATAACTAAACGCGCACTTTTAAATTACCTAATATAACTTTTTGGTAAGTAACAGAGACACAACGCCTATAAACTCAGGCTATAATTAATAACAAACTAGAGTATACTTACTGCAATTGTAAAATATGATAATACGCATAAGAATACGACGTGTGACAATACTAAGAAGGCACCAATGGAACAAAAAATCTGAAAAATGTCAGAAGTTTGGGAGTTTCAGCCGAAAAAAATAATCAAAAGGCCGGCCAAGCCTTCGCAAGTCTTTTGATATTAGGAGTGTCTATAAGGGGTGGGATCAGCATACATCAGTTGAGGCACCATAATTGAATTAAGTGATTAAGTCATAAAATTTTATTTTCTACTATAAAAACGTAGGAATTCAGCAGTCAGCCGAAAACATACAAGAAACCAAATCTACTCGTATTTAATTAGTAAAAAAATGTCTAACCGAGGGCCTGTATATTTCTTCCATGTCTAACATAGATGATAGAACTGCGTGAATACCACGAACTAAATTTTCATTTATATTTGCTTTCAGTCGATTTTCCTCAGTGTCATACAATGAATGTATTTCTGTCAGACCAACAGTCAAATCTTCGCTCATTAGTCTTTTATGTACATTCTTCAGTTCATTAGCTATATATTCCACTCGTACAATATGATACTTCAATTTTAAAATAGTTTCCGCGCTATATGCAATAGGAGTAAGTAACATAAAACATGTTAAATAAAAGCACCCCTCAGTGTAATGTACTTTCAACATTAATATAAGCCAAACGCAGGATCCAACTAAAAAGAATAATGCATAGATATTAGAAATGATTGATAAAACTTTGTTATTCTTAACAAATGCTGAGCCAAGTAGTCTGTCAATTTTTTGGAGCTTCAAAAATAGTTGACAGTTAAGGTCACTTTTATCGAAGTGATTACAAAATACCAAATAACTTGCAATCCACGACATAACTGCATATTGGTATGGAATGTATATCGTATCAAGCATCATTTTGTCCATTCTTCTGATTTCCATTGTCATTAAATAGTAAAATGTTGACGCAGGTATGATTATAGTCCACATAATAAAACAGTAAATAATAAAAGTTTTTTTCGGTGGCGTAACAAATCTGTATTTTATTTCAACTCTTGAATATCCCAACACATTTTGCAGGCGAAGTAGCCATCGAAATATATCTATAAATTCTTCATCTAATATATCTTTTGTTAAGTCTTCCATATCTATTAGGGTAAAATAATGGCCCAAGCGTTGGTTTGGAATCATTTAGATTTATCAACTAACATGAATTTATTACTCGTATTAGACGCTAGATAGCATCAAACGAGTAATCTATAACAGTTATATAAATATTAAATTACCACATACACTTAGAATTGAATGTTATAATCGAAGCTACGAATACGAGGGGTGTTCAAACAAAAGTGATATCAATACATTCTCCTTGGAAAGAAATAAAATAATAACGGGCAGGCATAGGCCAGACACTGAATATATTATTATAAAACAATCAATAATCCTTTGTTTGTAAACATAGAAGTCATTTGTTTGTATCGTGTCGGAACTGTTCAGAAAAATATACCAAGGTACTTGGTACAAGGTACTTAGCTGGTAAATCAAGACCGGATGAAGCGTGAATATGAGCCACATTAGGGGTTCACGCTTCTCCATATTCTTGCACGTTGGTGTGCTGAGTTTAAGCGAGGAAGAACTTCCGTTAACGACTACCTCCATTTGGGACGCCCTATATCTGTAGTGGCAGAACAAATGATTAAAAGATTTGGAAACTTAGTCAGGATTTATAGCAGAAAAAAATGAAGATTTCTATAGGAAGGGTCCATAATATTATACACACGAAAAAAGCGCGCTGTAGCTTGTACGCAGGAGAAATAACAAAGTTGCGCGAGGTAAGCAAAGTTGTTTTGTTTTACCGAGATAAAGCCCCAGCGCACTAGTCCAGAGTTGAGATTGAAGAAGCTGGTTTTGAATTTACAGAACATCCTTCATACTCTCCGGACCAAGCTCCTAGTGATAGAATATCTCATGAGTCATCAATTTGAAGATGATGATCTAGTAATTGCCGCAGTACAAAGATTATAAAGACCTAATAGTACATAAAAATAATAACTATAATTGATGAAACGATTTATATATTGTTTAGGTTTGTAATAAATGACATTTTGTCGTTCTGTCGGTGTAATCATTAGGTATATATACTTATTTTAATTTTTAAATATTTTAGTCACTGATAAACGCCTTTCAACATCCTATACACAATTTAAATCTACATTGAACGTTGAAAGAAGTTAAACAAATCTCGATTTTTTGTATAGTCTTGCAAACTGTTATTATTTATAATTAGCAAATTATTATGTGACATAATATGATAATTCAGCTATATTATTTGACTCATGTTCTAATTTCACGTTGGGCTGATGAGTTTTGTGTATAAACGCAAAGTAGCGAGAATTAAGCTGTATTACACTTACTCGTAGGTGCTTTTGTTTAATCGAGAATATTGAAATCGTATCCATACGCAATAACAATTAAGCAATAAAACATACACAGACACACACTCACGTATACACATAAACACACAGACACACACCCACACGCATACTTACAATTTACGCACACACATACCCCATGTGGTTTCCTTATATATGTATCCCTATAAATATTGCAGCCTATGTAATAATGATTGTTTATCCTCACTAGATTTTTCTCTACTTTATAAGACCTTCTGTCGATCCGAAGTAGTGGAGGCCTGATGACCTGTAACACAGGTACCCTTACCTTTAGCAGGCATCAGTCTCACACAAACTAGCAATTTCCCTAAACAGAAGTAAGACAAATATTTATTTATAATAGTATATAACTGTCACTTGATTATGAAATGAATAACGATTATTATTATTATTAATTAAAAGGATTTAAATGACTGTAATTCCTGATGAATATTAGACAATTACAACTAATCGATCAGTATGTCTTCTGTCGATGCCAATGTGCCGATGTCTTGTAAAAAAATTATTTTATTAAGTATTATTTTACATTTTTTTATAGAACATGGGCGAACTGGCCGGTGGCTCAGGCTGTTCAAATATTACGTAACGCAATTTGGAGGGAGGGGGGGTCTTGTAAAACTTTACGGTGCGTTACAAGGGCGGGAGGGGGTATTTAAACAACGCGTTACATTACATTTTTTTTATTTTTGAAAAGTCAGAGCCTTTTTCGGATATGGAATTTAGAATACTTTAACCTGACCATGACTGGGTCGTGGCAGAGCGGCACAAACTTATTCTTATATGTGTATACACCGGCGTCAACGTGGATCCTGACGGTTTGGGTAAGGAAGAAGCTGTTGGTTACAGCGGTCCGACACACATATCCGCTACGACAAAGGCAATTTTCAGCACTCTGGAGAGTCACTAGCCAAGGTCTGGAGTGGAATGAAAATTGACAGCTACGATGTTTATATAGAAAGCCTGAAGATAGCTTACAGGATCCAGCAGAACCTAATCAGGTGTCGTATAGCGCTCGTCCGTAAATCACAATATTTATTGCAAGTGATGAAATGCGCGGAAGAATCTTGCTGTTGCCGCTCGAGGAGTGCATTAAAATCTGTCGTTATTGACGCCACCCTGTTCAATTCTTTTAACCTCAACAAGCTCGTGGTACCTAGTCAGTTAGACAAAGTATCACGCAAGTTTTCACCACTTTTTGTAAGGTGGTCCGTTGATCTGTCACTTCCTCTTCTTCTTCTTCTTTAAGTGCCTCTCCACTACTGGAGGTTGGCGGTCAGCTCGTCATACTCCTTCTTATTTTTCACCACGCGCATCAGCTGTTCTACGCTGGCCACTCCCGTCCATTCTCTGATATTGCGGAGCCACGACTTCCTCCTTCTGCCAGCGCGTCTTTTCCCCTCGACCTTGCCCATCATGATTACTTGAAGAAGTCGGTACCGTTCGTGTCGAAACACATGTCCCAAGTAACTTATCTTCTTCTTTTTAATGTTCAAAGTGAGTTCTCGGGATCTTTTGGCGCGCCGTAGAACTTCTTCGTTCGTGACTCTATGGACCCAGCTTATCCTCAGCATTCTTCGGTAACACCACATTTCAAAGGCGTCGAGTTTCTTAATGGTTGCCTCCTTCAAGGTCCAAGCTTCGCAACCATACATTACAACTGTTCAGATGTAATATTGAAGCATCCTACTTCGGAGGTGTAAACTGATGTCTTTGTTGCAGAGTACTTTTCTCATTTTGTTGAAGGAAGCACGAGCGATTTCTATTCGGGTCTTCACTTCAATTTCAGACTCCCACGCTTCAGTCACCCATGTGCCTAGGTACTTGTATTTATTGACTCTCTCCAAAGTAGTACCTGCCACCGAGATTGTTGGGTTTAAGTCTACATTTCTGCAAATCACCATATACTTGGTTTTGGCGAGGTTCATTGATAGCACCGCTCTTTTGCTGCACTCATAGACGTGGTCAACTATACTCTGTTGATCTTCAGGTGTTGTTGCTATCAGAGTGGTATCATCGGCGTATCTCAAGTTGTTAATTATTTGCCCATTGATCTTGATACCCCACTCTTTGCCTTCCAGTGCTTCAGAGATAATTGCTTCCGAATATAGATTACAAAGAAGCGGAGACAGAATGCACCCTTGCCTGAATCCACGACAGATTGCAATCGGTTCGGTTTCGTCACCATCCACTCTCACCGTGCTGGTTTGGTTCCAGTAGAGGTTTTGTATTATTCTCATATCCCTGTCATCTATTGCGACTTCTTACGCATAAGTACCTCATGTTTGACACGTTCAAAGGCCTTTTCGTAATCAACAAAACATATAATGACGTCTGTTTGTAAGTCTCTACATTTTTGAACGAGGACATTCAACGAGAATAAATGTATAATCGAGAGAAAAAGTTTTAAGACCTGACTCATCAGACTTATTGTGCGATATTCTGTGCATTTCTTAGCCGTAGGTTTCTTCGGGAGGGTGATGAACGTTGATATTAACCAATCCTTCGGCATAATCCCCGTTGCATAAATACAGTTGAAGAAGTTGGTTACCGCATCCACAAGGTGTTCCTCTATTAGTTGTAGTATCTCCACATGAATTTGATCTGGACCTGGAGATTTTCCAGTTTTGGCTCTCTTTAGAGCTTTTACTACCTCTGCTCTCAATATAGGAGGTCCAGTTTCATTCCCTGGTGTTACTGTGATTCTTCTAGTTGCATCTGCGAACATCTCTTCAACATAGAGTTTCCAAGTAGATTTTTTGCTCTCTATGTCTAATAATACATTACCACTATCATCCACTAACGTATTCCGGTTTGTCCTTTTCCGCAATCCAGCCATCTCTTTGATCTCTTTGTGTAAGTTAAAGCTGTCGTGTTTGGTGTTGAGCTCTTCCAGCCTTACACATTTGTCCTCATAAAATTTAGACCTAGCTGCTCGAATTTTCCTCCTGATTAACTTATTTAGGGCATTGTATGCGTGTGGATCGAATTTTTTAATTAGTCGTCGTTCTTCCATGAGGTCTAAGATTTCACCTTCCATCCACTGTTGTCTTTTGTTATGATGCGTCTGACCCAAAATAGTTTCATTAATGTCGGTAATGGTTCTAACTAGAGCATGATTCACTTTCTCTACAGATGCAGTTGTATTAAAATTTTCTTCTACCCAGCGGTTGATAGCATTGGAGGCTTTTACTCTTTTATCCGGATGTTTGATACTGCGTATATCCGGACGACAGATGATTTTAGTCTTTCTTAGTTTTTTCAGGTTATAGCACATTTTAACTACAACGGGGTTGTGGTCAGAGTTGATATCAGCACCAGGATAGGTTTGAGCACTTTTAATCGAATTTTTGAAACGACTATTTATCGCTATGTAATCTATTTGGTTGCGAACTATGTGATCTGGTGTGTGCGCTGGTGAGGTCCATGTGTAGAGCCTCCTTGGGTGATGTTTGAACAGGGTGTTCGTGACTACCAGTTCATGTTCTTGACAGAACTCAATGAACGATTCGCCCCGTTCATTTCTTACCCCTAATCCATAAGGTTTGATCACTCCTGGTACCTCCCCTGAACCCACCTTTGCGTTTAGATCTCCCATTATAATATTTATGTCATGTTTCTTCGTGTATTGTATAAGATTCCTAACTTCCGCGTAAAATTCATCCAACTCGTTCTGGGGTTTGTCGGCTGTCGGGGCATACACTTGTATGATATTTATGTTCTGCGGTTTAGCTTCCAGACGTAACAGCATACTTCAGTTGGAATGTGGTATGAAACCGCGAACGGCCCGAGCAGTTTCTTTGGTGAGCAGGACTGCCACTCCATAAGGTTCGGTTGAGCCATTTTTACCCGAGTAGTACAGTACTTGGCCCTCTGTGGTCTTATATCGATCGTTTCCTGGCCATTTAGTATCACTAATACCCAACACCCTAATTTCAAGGCGCCTCATTTCTTTGATGACATTTTGTAGTTTCCCATGCTGTTTAAGACTCTTTACGTTCCACGTTCCAATTTTTAGCCTGTGTCGTTGTTTTTGTTCGTGATCCCCTCCGGAGATTCTTCGCACCCCTGACCCATTTAAGGGACGCCGGAGACTCAGGGCCGTGGCTATATTTGTGCTATCCATGCTTAATGATCAGAGCTGATCAACTAGGGAGTTTTATGACGGTGGTTTCCCGTTGCCTTCCGTCATCGCAGATCACCGCCGTACCGCCATCCTGGCTCCGCCGGTAATTCTCGATATGAGCCCATCTCTGGCCTCGATATCGTACTGGCCCTACTGCTGCCTAGCACCAGGCTCGTATTAAGCTCCTACAGCTGAGCTTGCCTCTTCCGCCGATGTCATCGATGTGATGTTCTAGATCTACGCCTTCACCGCCGTTAAGGTCTTCACCTGTAACCCTAGCCAGGGGACCACGTTATACCCCGTGGTGCTGGGTCCTTCCCTGAACTCGGCAATTGAGATGTCCCGAGCCTACAAGAACACTCAATGCCCACCCCCGCAGCTTGGACGCGCCAGAGAAGAATTACTCAAGTGGCCGCCAGAGAACATGACTCTGGTGACCCTTGAGCCGGGTTAACGGTTTTGTATGTTTCCAAAACCGAAGGCTTCCTCTGGAAGGGTTTAATGCTTGGCTTAATGAAGACGAAGTTGATGCAAGTGGTAATAGGCGGAACTTTCTTTGTCTTCTCTCCGAATACCAGCAATGAAAGAGTCTGAGTGGCAGGCAAACCCGCGGACAGTAATCGCAATTGAATTGTGTTTTTACCTACCTACACTTATTTGATTTATGGCTAAATAAAAACATATAACTTAAAAATCTCTTCTTTTGTTTATTACTACTTCAAACGCAATTAATAAAATAACAAAAGTATTATACTTTGTTTAATATAATTATGACTTCAATGGTCACTTAATTGTTACGTAACGTTTAGGGAGTGGGAGTGGGCGTACAAAAAAACGATACGATGCGTTACATGGGGGGGGAGGGAGGTTTAAAATCTTCAAAAATTGCGTTACGTAATACTTGAACGTTCCTTCGTCTGATGTAAAGTAACACTCACACGGCCGGAAAGAAGAGCTGGAAGACCGCTTTTATACAACCGATCCGTAAAAAAGGTGATCGCTCTGATCCGTCCAACTATCTACTATATAATTAACACTTTTTATAAAAAAACGGTCAATTGTCATAATATTCATAGACACTTGGTTATTCAGCTAAAAACTCCCTCCACTTACCAAGACGTAAAATAAAATTGGTTAAGAGAATGCCATGAGATTCCAAAAATGAGGTGAGTAAAGAAAAGTGCTGCAAGTGAAGCGAGTTGCAATCACGGATTATCAGAATGCCGCAGGTTTAAGTTAAAAATTATAACGTATAGGGATCTACACCACACAAAATACAGACGTAGAAACTCAAATTATATGAAATAATAAACCAGAACCAGTAGCTCTGCAACCAATTACACTAAAACGGTTAGAATTTTCCTTCTCATAGGAGGAGTAAGGAATCAATGTTTCATTTTAACTCTTGAATATCCCATAATATTTTTATTTAATATTTTCCCATAATATTTTGGAAATAATGTATATGTATCGAAATATTTCTACAAAATCTGCATCTAACATGTCTTTTGTTAAATCTTCCATCTCTCAAAATAAAAAATTATCGAAGTGATTTAGAAATTTCGACCAAGGTGTTTTTTTTTATATTTAATGCAACAAAAATTAAATCATTGTGGAAATTCATATAGAAATTATTTCAGACGAAACTTTTTTATGTCATACTGTAATTCGATTTGTCGATGTAATCATTAACACATTCAACAAAGTTCTTTTAATAAATTTTTCTTTAGTATAAGATCCACAAGACCTTCACCGAGTGCTTATTAATGAAACTTATTTATATTTTAGATTAAAGATGACCATATTTCCAGATGAAAATATTTTTTTTTTTTTATAATTTGCATGGTAAATGTTTTGAACTTTTTCAATAATATTCGTGTAATTATATATGTACACTATCGTCATGTAAAAATACACATAAATAATACACATTCAATCGCATAGTTCTTTTCAAAATTTTGAAATATTTTTTTTTAAATTAATTAAACATACTTACTGAATTTGTCCATAATAATTATACATAATACATTAAAAAAACATCGGGGGGGGGGTGTTTTTTGGGGGATCTTAGACCATTACCGATACACGCCTTTCAACCTCCTATATGGCATTCGAATTTGTTTTGTACTGATAAACCGCATTTAACAGACAAGATGACGGATGTTTAAAATTAACTGTATTGCATGTAACATTATTTTCATAGAAACAATTATCAGGCTTTCAATATTTATTGTGTCGCCGGGATTCGAAACCAACACATGTAGGTTATAGATTAGTGAAGAGAACCAAAGTACAATCCCACAAAACATATATTGTACGTCATGAACGTATTGGATTTTAGATTTACTGTAGGGTATTTAGTATTTGAAAGACACTAGTAATTAGCAAGTATCTTTAATTCTATATTCGTCTATAAACAATTTGTTGAAAACACTAATAAATAATTCGTGCGAAGTGGCTTAGTTTATAACCTAGGACCCAAAGTAGATCTTACATTATTGATTCTTAATTAGTATATTGCATGTACAAAAAGGTATACGATGTGACTATATTAAAAAGTTGATGAGGCATGTTCTGGTCAATAGTGAAGATACCATATATGGATATAGTTGGAGACTTTGCATTCAACAGGAGAAGCATTCGGTTGGCGTTTTTTACTGTTTCTTCTGAAAGATAGAGTTGCATATTCATTATGTATAGACAAAACGTGTTATACAAAACAAATTATGAATATATAGTAAAAAATTAATGACATATTATTTATTTCGTTTAGAAAAAGTTATAGCAGAGAGTATAATGTTAGTTCTTCTTATTCGTTCTACGCCCTTGATTTGAGAACAAAGTATAAATAGTGTAAGTATAATTATAAAAGCTTCTGATTTTTATTGACGTTTATAACTTTGACGCTAAACCACGTAACCAGTTGTATAATTTAATATAAAATATAAGTAAAGACTATTGGGATTTAATCAAGATGTAGACTACCAAGGGGACCTTCTTTATGAGGGAATGCGGTTGGTAGTCGTGCCGGTCTAAGACGGTTGCGTATTTAGATGACTGTATAAGCTGATTCATTACAGTATGAAAAGTTGAACGGTGGTGATAAACATGTTAGATGGTAAAAAAGGCAAATTGGATGCGACTGATTATAAGCAAGCTGGTGAACTCACTACTTCCTTCATTTATTTCAACTCAATCTTTATAGTGATTAAAATAAATAAAGTACCTAGAAAAAGAATGCTTATATCTCACCATCTGCAGATGGACATGAAATGATTGCAGAGCAAAGTCGTTTTGTTTGCTTAAGCAATTCCGATAATGTATGCCCATAAAAAGCCATCAGCAAAAACATGAATAGACATGGTAGGTATAATATTAAGAAACAAAATCCAATTACATTAAACCCGTCCTGAAATCAGGTTGTTAGTTGAGTTTACCAGATTAAGCACATGTTTAACGCATTGTCACTTATATTTTACAAAATTTTACTACAGAAATTAAAAAGTTCGTGTACATAAAAACGATTTCGTTGTCGTTCGGCGCGCTTCAAAACTTCGAAACGTTTTTTTTTATTGTGATTGGACAACAGCATCTCTAGTATAATACGAGTTGAAACAATTAAATTCATACATCCTATTTTAGACTATCCATCACCCTCGTATCAATAAAGTCAGTTGCAAAGCTATTTTTTATTGTATAAATCAGAGATACAGAGATTATATAATAGGCTTAATTTTAGTACTTGTCACAATTTTCTATTAACGAAAGAAACAAAAACTTGATTGGTAAATAACGATTAAATTATACTTACTCTTTTCTTCAAATATCCAATTAGCATTAAGAAGATGCAATGTGATAGCATTAACAGTGCTACCATTCCACAGAAAATCTGAAATCAGAAACATGATTTGTGGGCTATTTCAACGTGTTATCCAAAGTTAGTGTTACATTAAAAAAATCCCTCTACACTTACTATATTTTATTATTATTTTTTGAATCCAATTATAATAAAAGAGCTTACCGAATGCCTGTATATTTCTTCTATGTTCAACATAGACGACAGAACAGCGTGTATGCCGCGAACTAGCCTTTCTGTTATTTGTGCTCCCTGTTCCTCAGTGTTATACAATGAATGGCTTCGTGATAGACTATCTTTTGATTCCTCGCTCTTAAAATTGCTATGCAAGTCTTTTAATTCATTTAAAATATATTCCATTCTGACAATGAGATATTTTAATATGATAATAAATAATAAGGTTTCCACAGTATACGCCATTGGACTAAGTATCATGAAAATAGTTAAGGAAAAACATCCGTCAGTATGATATATAGATGCTATTGTGTATAACCAAACAATACTTCCTCCGCATATCATTACAATACAAGTCTTAGGTAATATTGAAAGAAATTTATTATTTTTAACAAATTCTGCGCCAAGTATTTTGTCAATTTTATGGATCTTTAAAAATACTCGACAGTTTAAATCGCTATTATCAAAATGATTACAATACACAAGATAACTTGAAATCCATGTCATAACAGCATATTGGTATGGAAAGGAAGATGCATCTATCAATGTAAAGATCTCGGTTTCAATCACTTTAGAGGTCATAAGAAAATAAAACGTCGACGAGGGTATTATTATAATCCACAGAATAAAACAGTAAATAATATAAGTGGTCCTCGGCGGCGTAACGGATCCGTCCTTAAACTCAACTCTTGAATATCCCAAAATATTTTGCAAGTAATGATTCCATCGAAATATGTCTATAAAATCTTCATCCAATATGTCGTTTGATAAGTCTTCCATATTTGAAGTTGTCAGAGCCGTGTTCGGAATGATTTAGATTTCTTAACTTCCATGAAATCATTAGTTGATTATATCATTTATACTAGATTATTATTAGTACTAGATTTTTATTACTAGATAGATTATTACTAGATTTTATCAAATAAGTGATCCATATCAGTGTGCTATATAGAAGGTAATGGAATTATAA